TCTTTTCCAAGGTCTTGACTCCTTTGTCCTTGGCCCTGGACGTAGTCCGAGGTGCCTGAAAACCAGACGCTTCGGCCCGTCGTTCTGAAGCCTTGCCCGTCCTCGAACCTGTGGATGTCGGACGCGAAGGCGTAGATGCTCTTGGTAGACTCTTTGCTTTCACCTTGGGAACTGCCTTTGCAATGGCAAGCGCAGAAGATTGACCTTTGTCATCTTCCGTGGAGCTATCAACGGATTGCACCACTGTGTCATCAGCTGTTGACTCACCAACGGCTGGCGCTGCCACATCGGCACCGAAAGTCATTGTCGTATCTTGGCTTGATCCTGAGTTCATTGTGGTCGTAGTAGATCAAGTAGTCGTTGCTGTAGAAAGGCAGAGCCGCGTACGGCTGATAACCTGCGTGGGGGATTGATCTCGACTTGGTTGCTGCTCTCCCCACCAGAGCTGTAATGAATGTAGGTGTGGCTGGCTTGCACTCTCCACAGACTGGACCCTGTCTCTCCCTCTTACTTCCACACGTGCAATCCTATGCAGGCAGAACCGGCGGCCGTTCCTTTTGCACTCACTGCCGGCGGCGGTTCGTCTGTGCAACGGGATAGCTCTGATTGCTCAGGATAGAAGACACATATAGCACTTAGCTATGGGCATTGACTTGAGCCAAACGTTGCGTGGGCGGTCACATAGAAAGGTAAAGATGAGGGATGCGTAGCATGCCCCCTTAGAGTCGAGGGACGCGTAGCGTGCCCCCTTCTCTTGCACTTTACACGGTCTTGCTCACAGCTCTTATAGTGACACCTTAGAACTTGACAAGGCATCGCAGTCCGTTCGCAAGTAATAGTAATAGTAAAGTACAATAGATGAAAAGCAAAGGGAAAGTAAAGGCAGAGGAAAGCAATCAACAAGAAAAAACAAACAAGCAAAGCAGGGAAGAGCAGCAAGCGAAAACTTAAAAAAAGAAAAAGCGAAGCAGACAGTTGGCCTTCAATCTGGGCCTCGTGAGTTCTACTCAAGGAATTCTATCTCTTTATTACCGCCTGGCGGTTGACCCCTGGCGAAAGCCCTGGCCTGCCAAACATTGGCAGGTTGGCGGCCACAAGCGCACCCGCGACGCTGCCTGTCGTAATCCCCGGGGCCGGTGGAGCCGCTTCTTGGAGATTCCCAAGTCGGAGGCCAGAGGCCGACAATGGCGTCCGGAAGATTTGAGGGACCTTCTGTTGGTTGTTCACGCACCTCTACATCACGCAGAGACACCGAATCCGTGCTTATGGAGGCCAGCGATTGGTGCTCGTCATCGTCAACCCTTCTCATCCGTACCCTTTGGCTCAAGCCCCTTTGGCTCAAGGCGTCTCGGCTCAAGATTTCCTAAAGGGAACATCTGTGGAGACGTAGTAGGGCGGGAGTCTGTAACTAGGAGGTCCTTGACTCTGGAGGTAGCATTAGGAAGCCCTCTCGCTGTGAGGGCGTAGTGGGTGGGAGGCCCCTGAGACTCCTGTAGCTTGTGCAAAAGGGTCGACTCTTGCAACGTGTGCAAACTACCTAGTGCAAGCGGCCCAAAGTGTCTCTCAAGAGTTACTTTTTGCGGTGTCGGTGGGTGTTTGAGGCTTTGGTAGCCCGTGCAAAGGTCCCTGAGACTCCGGAAATAAGTGTAAACTGGTTAGTGTAATCTGCCGTAAGTGTCTCTGAAGAGTGACTTATTGCTGACGTTTGCACTTTTCGGCATCAGGATTGCTGAAGTTGACACTTGTTGAAGGTCAGTTATTGGTACTGTGAGTACCTTGCAGGCCTTGACCGTGCCTTCTAACACTGTTAGTGTTGGTTGTGTCCTTCTGACATACGTCAGTCGGCGTTTTGCTAGATAAATACCCTTTGGAGCCTGCTGTGCACGTCTAAACCGTGCGACTGCATCTGCGGTGTGTGTGAGCTCCTGTGAGGATTGGTTAAAAGCCTGGAAGGTGTTACAGCCTATTCGGTGAGTGTCTCTAAGAGTTGCCTTCCGATTGAGGCTTTCGGCACATTAAATCGGAAGAGTTTCGCTCCTTCGAGCGTTTTGTGTTGATCGAGCAACCTCCGGAGTAAGTCCGTTGTCTGGGTACGTGATTGGGCACTCTCTGTGACATTGGAAGGTTTTGCTGCCAACTTTAGTAACGAGGATTGCCTTTCGCACCTGCTCGTGTCCTTCTGACATACGTCAGTCGGCTTTTCCAGTACTTGGGCTATATTTAAGGACTTGTTGTGTCCTTGGGCCGCTGTGGCTTGCCTGCACTATCCTATAGTGATCACGGGTCAATTGGGATCTCGTTGTTTGGTTTAACACTTCGCGGTGGCCGTAGTTTGCTGACTTTCAAGTGTTAACAGCTGCCAAAATGACTGCGCATGACTTAGCGGCCAGAGAAACGTGCAAACAACTTTGGAGACATCTTCTTGAAAAACTTGTTATGATGGATCTAAAGGTCGATGTCGTGTTTGCATCATTCCCATCTGCTGTTGAAGAAGGAGAGGCCTTTGCAGCAGGAATTGACCGGGTCTGCACGTCTTGGATCGAAGATGTTGCTGCATTGGCAGGAACTATTAAGCCTCACATGCGTATTGTGATGATTGATCCCATACCGCAAAGGGTCAGGGAAGTCTTAGCGTTGGTTGACACTTCCAACGAAGTCAAGGTTGTCTACTCCACCCCCAAGGGCTTCCCACAAGACCTCGTTTATTATGATGTTCGGAAGAAGTATCTTCCTTCATCGGATTACAACGTCCAGATCAATCATTTCAGAGATCAACAGGACCTTATCCCCTCACCTGTGCCTGCGAAGCCTGGTGCCCGGCCCAATGAAGCGTATCCTGTCTGGGTGACGATTCGGCAACATGATACTGAGCGACCCATGCAGGAAGGCTATGTTGACTCCGGAAATGTCACTTGGTATATCTCTTTAAGCGCGGCTATTAGCTTTTTGCCAGTCGACATGGCCGATGAGTGGCTTTTTATGGGATTTGCCAAGTTGCGAGACCAGGTCTTCTTTCGAAGAATCACGCAGGACCGTATGCAGGGTGTTACGTTCGGGATTAGGCACCAAAAACTTGATGCGAGTGTTGTCTCGCGCGCTCTTGAATTACTGGAGACCTATATTTCGCAAGCCAATGCGGCATGTGATAGAGGTGCATCCCCCAATCTTAACGTCTATGTGTCGCAGTTGCCTTGTGATGTGCTCAGTCATCTTTCCACGTCTCTCTCTCTTGACGCATTCGAGCAGCTGCAAGCCTTAGTTGTGTGTAGCATCCCGGTCGCTACACAGCCAGGTCCGCATATCGACGCAATCATGCGGCATGCTTACCAGTGCAACATCCTTGCATGCATTGTGAGACAACATCTTGCCCTGCGGGTTACACCACTACGCTATCAGGCCTTTATTGCCTCGTTACGCCGTAACGCGATTGATCTACCGGAGAGCAAGATCCGTGGGGCCTATAAGCTCATTCCGAGGAAGCACTGCGCGGGGACATACCTCACCACCCGATCATACTTCGTTGAGTGCGTGTGTCCCTCTATTGTTAAAGAGACTCACCTGCAAGTTAGATCCCTGCAGGGTACGTTAGATACTGACCAAGGACGCAGTCTCATTCAAAGCCTCGGAGCTACCCCCACATATGCCAGACATGCCTTCCTAGACTGTCAAGGAGTCCAGGAGGTTGCCCTGCATGTGGTCATACCCGCCTCTGACGAAGCCGCATTGTGGTCCGCCTACGATCAGGCTGACACTGGGGCTCTGATTGAGTATTTTGTTAAAGACACCAGTGTGCTCCTTCCCTCAGCCTCAAGAAGGACTACTTTGGAGAAACCAGAGCAGCATTGGAGGCGCTATAGCAATGCTCATGAAGTTCCTGCCACTAGGCTCACCTTTTTTACACCTGTCAATGTGGAGTATAAAACTGCGGTTGAGCGTTATGCTTATTCCGTGCGGTTCAAGGTCATGCAGTGTGAGTGCATAGCAACGCAAGAGTCTATCCCAATACTGCATATTGGTCTTAAGAGCCCTGCAGGCAGCCGTCACCACTCAATCATTTCGCAAGCTTTGATTGAGTGCCCGCGTGCGTGCGATGATCCCTACACAGGCGAAAGTGAGCCTCCACAAGGACTTATTGGACGACACTGCAGTCACCTTTTTTCAGACGAACCGCCTGTCCTTCGCATAGCTTCGTGGTTAGAGGTTGGGGCACTCCGTTCTTTCAAATCAATTGGAATCAAATAATGTAACTTCCAAATGAATCCAAAAGGGAATAAATATCTGAAAATCAAGAGCACTCGGACAACACTCGTTTTATTCGCAGCGGTTGGTAGTCTCGCGGTGCCCTTGGTAGGGCGGATGCATGTTGATGCATCCAACCCCCCGCGGCATGGAAGATTATTGTCGGAATGTGTTGACATAGACTATTCTCGGAATGTGCTGACATTCCAGGGTGGGTCGGGTGGGCTAAAGAAAACGACAAGAGCCACGGCCTGAGCCTGACGTGGCTACTCAATCGAGAATACGACTCAGCGATACTGCGGGACTGACCCGGAAAGACAAGGACTGGAAATCACTCAAGAAATTCAAGCAGAAAGCAAAACTAAAATCTGGCTGAGAAAGTTTTCTACTTTCAAACAAAGCGCACGGGATCCGCCTAGGATCCAAGTCCTCAGCTAAGAACCCCCCCCCCGCCCGTCAGCTAGCTCCGGACAGATCTACAGGGTGAAACCCGGTTTAGCCTGTCCTTCGCATAGCTTCGTGGTTAGAGGTTGGGGCACTCCGTTCTTTCAAATCAATTGTTATATACGCAAACGTCTTTCTATAAAAAGGCGAATCAAATAATGTAACTTCCAAATGAATCCAAAAGGGAATAAATATCTGAAAATCAAGAGCACTCGGACAACACTCGTTTTATTCGCAGCGGTTGGTAGTCTCGCGGTGCCCTTGGTAGGGCGGATGCATGTTGATGCATCCAACCTCCTTTCCCCTTCAGGGACGCACTACCAAGGAGTTTTCTCTGCCTTCCTCTTCTGAGGACGATGCCCCGAGGCATCCTGTTGCAGCACGGCCTGAGCCCTTCGTGCTGAGTCGAAGCTTTCTTTGGTCTCCCACAACTGATGCAGAAGCGAAAGAGGCAAATCCGAGTAAGTGCATGCAATGCGATGTTCGTCCGAGAAGTTGGTGAAAATCTCGTTCGTAAGTTGGTCCGCATACTGATTCTCATCGCGCGGCCTCCACCGTAGGAGGAGCTTCAAGGAAGAGCGAAGGAGCAAGTCAGACAACTGCATGTTGATCAACATGAGGGGCCACTTTGTTGATGACCCCTTCTTGAGCAATCTCGAGTTGCTCTGATTGTCTGTGTCCGCAGCGCACTCAACGTCCAATTCCTTTCTGTCCACAGAAGCGGTCAAGTATCCGAAGATGTGAAGGGCCGCCAATGTTGCCAGCAGTTCTGCTGAGCCTGATGCCCATTGTGATTTTCCCTCCTGATCAAACAAGTATGGTGCATCACTCGGTGTCAAGCGCAGCGAAAACCACTTGGAAGTCTTGGTGTCGTCACTTAGCTCCCAACCGGCCAACACGACGCATCCGTCGGCACACTTTGCATCTGTCCTGAAGCCCGCGACCTGGTGTTTGGGTTTGCGGCAGGGGTTCACCTTAAAAGTGTATTCATCAAGCGTTCTCTCCAAGTAAAGGAGTGTCAAGATGACAGTCTCAGGCAACTTGGCGACGGTGCTCCGGGACACCGCTGATGCCCACGCATACAGTGGAGCAAGGTGAGGCTTAATCCAAACCACTATCCTAGAAACAAACCCCAACCGGCCAAGGAACTCCCTGAAGAGTCGGACCTGAACCACGAAGCGTTTGGTTTTGGCATCTTTGATCCACGAAACGATCCAAGCTCCTCGAGAGTCTGACATGCCAACTTGCCATGATCGGTAGTCGAGCTCAAAGCCCACGAAGGGAACCTTAAAACCTCCCCGAAATTTCTTAAAGGAGAAAGGGGTCCCTAAGGCAAGGTACAAGACGAACCACATCACCAGATTTCGGAACTTATGTGCTCCAGTGAACACACCGTGGATGTCGTCCACGAAGCAAAGTTGATAGAACCATTCCTGAAGCATTTCTCGGGCGACTGTCCTGCCCACAAGTCCGAACAATCTGCTCCACCAAAATGAAGCGACACTCAGTCCGAATGTTCCTACAACGTTAACCCAAACGACGGTGCTTGAAGAATCTGCTTTGCATGCCATCAAGGGGTGGTCCCGACGCCTGTGTTTGACAAGCCGGTGTGCCGCACTCACGTCAGCTGAGATTCCCAAAGGCAGCCTCGCGCGATCGTTTAGCAGAGCTTACGGTGTGTGCCACTTCCGCAGGGCCCGGCGTGGCCGTTTGGTTCAGCAACCGAATGCCATTGTTGATCTTCACCCCGTGGGTGCCATCATGTAGGGGACGGACGCTGCCGTCTGGCTTGGCGACCGCTCCCATCGCTGCTATACGTACCCTGTCAGCTCCATGCTCGGCCGCCAAAGCGGAGTAAGTGGTCGGGTACATCCGCCCGAGCTTCTCCTCCTCCCTGAACTTCAGCTCCATCTCCTGCACGGTGAGCTTCGCGCTCTGGTAATTTTCTTTGACCGCCTCAAAAGTGCTCTCATCAAGTTTTCTCCATTTGACCTTCCGATCGAAAACCTGCGGCACCCTAGGTATGGTCTCGTCATAGCCCAATGGAACACCTTTCTCAAAGCACTCCTCGCCTTCTGTCAAGATTTTCCAGTCTGGGTCTTCCAGCAAGCGCGACGTGTGCGAGAGCAAACGAAGATAGAAAGGCTGCGGATCAGGAACTTCCAGCAAGCCTTCGTGTTTGGCTCCGTCAGTCTCGCATACAAGTGCAGCCCAGTCCTCGCGAAGGCGTCGCATCGCACCTTCATCAAAAGGCGATTCCAGAATCTGCCCGGTGGCCAACTTGAGTGCCAGCAATTGGCAGTCTGGCACCTGCTCTGCTACAAACTGCTGCACCAAGCCATTCAAGCGTCTTGACAAGTCCTTTGATTGCTCTGGTAGCGATGCTCCACGGGAGGCAGGATGCCAACGCGTTGGAGAACAAAGACCATAGCCGTCAGTGATAGGCGACTCTCTCCCGTCCCACTCCAGCATCAAGGGATTTCCGAAGTTGCCACAAAGCTCTGGTCTGAAGACATCGTCTGCTTGCTGGTCCAAGCCACCAGAAGGCGGTTCCGATTCCGAGCTCTCTGTCGATGACAGCTCCCCGGCATCCAAGGTCCTCCCTGTCGACTGACTTGCGGAAGGGCAGTTGATTCCAAGGTCCTCAAGAAGCTGCGCATCCGATTGCTTCAGCTCCTCAGTCTTCGACACCGTGAATGCAACGGCAATCAGTCGGCGGCCCTTCCAAGGCATGGTGCAATGCAAGATGCCACGAGCATCGAAGCAGAGGCCTTCCGGGGGGATCGGCACGGCCGTCCCAAACACTTCAGAGCCTCCAAAGTTCTGAGGTGTAGAACCCTGGTCTTGTTGCATCCATAACTCGCCCCCCCAAAACTGGGTAAGAGGGATTATCAAGTTCTCGCAGCAAGCATTGCGGCTGTCCTTATGTAGGGGAGTGCACACATTGTCGTAAATGCTGATGGTGCTGAAAGGATGGAAAGGACGCATGCTCCGAACAAAACGGACCAAGCACTTGGTGGCCAGCGGAAAATCGTGGCATGCTTTCCTCAGGCCTGTCAAGCCTCCCTTGTTGTAGGCACCCGTGGAGAAAGAGCTCGGGATGCGGCCTTCGGGGTCACGGGCTGACACCTCTTTCGGCAAAGCTTCGTACAAGCGAATCATATCCTCGGCGCGAGGCGCCTCGTCTTTCGAAAGGATCTCACAAGCTAAAGCCTCAGCGTTGTGTGCATGCGCCTCCGACGAATCGGGGCCTGCCCCAACCTGGGGGCCTACACCCCTATCTGCCTGGGGGCCTAAACCACTAGCAGCCGGGGAAACCGAAATGGAGGACAAGGGACTACCGGCAGTGCTAGAACGACGACCCTCCGGTGGGCCAGCATTCCTTCCTGCGTCCCCCCTTGCGCGCAGCACCGAAGGAAGGATGGAATGCAAGACGTGATCACACAGAGCTGCCGGCCACTCGACAGAGGTGGCCGTATTCCAATCACGACCTTGGCGACCTACCAAAGGTTTTGGATGATGGCTGTGAGGGCAGCGTGGGGGAAGCGGGCCCACGTAGCGGCCTTCAGCATCGAAGGTGGGCCAAATGCTGTACGGTGGCAGCTGATGCTTCAGCCGCTCGGAATTGCAGAGGAAGCGGCTGGGTTTAGCAGTAGGTGCACCGAATGCACAACGGAAGTATGCCCAAGTCGTGGCATTATGCTGAACTTGCAAGTCGCGCACCTGAGGTAACTGCCAAAATGACGCCGGTCGCTCACCGTCCTTGGTGGCACCCAAATCCTCAGGGCTCTCAAGCACAAAGCAGCCTCCTGCGGATGCACAGGCGGATGCAGCTTCTACACATCGCTGGAACAAGGAATTTGCCTTCTCAACCTTAATTCTATTGTCATCCGACAACCATGGAAAACCTGTGGGCCAAGCTTCCGACCTGAGTGGGGCCGGTCCTGGCCGTTTGTGCCTAGCCCGCGACATGGTCTCAAGTGGCGGACTTGCCAAGAAAATCCAATCTCCCTGGCACAAGCACTGCAGAATTGAATCCCAAAACCGATCAGTCATCAAGTCAGGATCGTGAAACTCGTATCCCCTGCACTCGCTGACCCCCGACTGCAATGCAAGGTATGCCTGCACGGAGGGCAGACCGAAGCACATGATTTTGAGGCCAGCGGCTGGGGACCGTCACTCGGCTTTGTTGTTGCCTTGCGACAGCTCCTGATGGCGAATGGCCGGATGTTCTTTGTAGCATCCCTTGACCCTGCACACATGTGCGCGCCCACAGTTGCACTGGCAACCCTGATTGTTGTATGCGAAACAGATATCCTTGCCATCGGGCGTCCTCCAGACTAGCTGCAGGCCTCTGAAAGCACCTTTCTCTTCGCCTTTTCCCTTTCCTTGCTTGCCTTTTCCCGTCCTGGGGTCCTTGCCTTTCCCCCCTTTCTCACCTTTCTCCCCCCTGCGTGTCCACTTTGATGGCATGGGGAAAGCAGTCAAGGTCAGTGGAGTGACAAAATGAACTTCTTTAAGCTCGGAATCCTTAGTCACGGCAGCCAAAGCATCTTGAAGCGTCTGACCTTCATCATTCACTAGCCTGAACGCTTCTTTCCTCAACTTGTACTCGTAGCGAAGTACGATCCCCCAAGGTGGCCGGAAGAGTGCATTGTGGCTGCTGTCGTAGCCCGTGGCCTGCTCCAATCTGAGACCCGCGACCCGCTCGCCGAGGATGTAGTCGACGAACTTGGTGAAATCCGCCATCGTCAAGCCTTGAAGCCAAGTCTTGGATTTCTACCTGGACTGCATCGCCAACCAAGAGTAACCCTCAATCTTCAAGACTCTCCGGTAAGCCTCCGAGTTTTGAGGCATCTCGACTTTCTGTTTGGTTTTCGTGATGCGCAAATGTCCGGCAGGATCAACACTAGACTGGATGGTGGCTGTCTGAGAATCTCGCTTCGATGTGATGGTATCAAGCTGTGCCGCAGTCGGTTCATTCTGCTCGGTCTCTTCTGCTTTCAAAGCCAAGTACTCTGCACTAGGTGTTTCGGCCTCGTTGAGCTTGCCATACGCTGCTGAAACCGCGCGCAGCATGGCTTGCCTTTCCTGGGTCTGCAAAATCCTGGGCTGATTGAGGGCACGGGCCTCTGCCCGGAGTTCAATTTCTTTAGAGCTAATCTCTTTCTTTCAGAAACCTGATGTTTTACAAAAAGGTTGAGTGATATCAAATATCACGGACATCAATCATATAAGACAGAATCCTTCAAATAATATTGGAATAGATTTCAATACCAAAAGTATAAAGTATCAGATCCTCACAATATATAAAAGGAGGATCCAAGGAGTTGTCGCGCCACACTCTTTTTATTCGCACGGTGATCTGGGGTGAATTCTAATTCGGGAGCCCCCACAGCTCCGGCCAAACCGATGTTCGAGCATCACGGGTTTGGCAAGCTGAGATTTTTTCAAGATCAAAGGGGGCAGCGTCCCGAATGCCCCCCCGTCCTCATTGGGTGGGAGGGTGGGAAAAGAAAATTTCTTGCCTCTCACTTTGAGCAGACTCGCGGGTAAGATAGAGATCTCCGATCTGCCATGTCAAAGAAATGAGGTTCATGCAAGAAATGTTTTCCAAAAACCTCCGATGTAAAACACGGCAGCTTCACTGCCTGTCAAGTTTCCAAAAGAAAGAAAAGTCTGCAAGCAGAAAATGTTCTTCTTTCAGAAACCTGATGTTTTACAAAAAGGTTGAGTGATATCAAATATCACGGACATCAATCATATAAGACAGAATCCTTCAAATAATATTGGAATAGATTTCAATACCAAAAGTATAAAGTATCAGATCCTCACAATATATAAAAGGAGGATCCAAGGAGTTGTCGCGCCACACTCTTTTTATTCGCACGGTGATCTGGGGTGAATTCTAATTCGGGAGCCCCCACAGCTCCGGCCAAACCGATGTTCGAGCATCACGGGTTTGGCAAGCTGAGATTTTTTCAAGATCAAAGGGGGCAGCGTCCCGAATGCCCCTGACATCACGCGAACCCCTGATGAAGAAATCTCTGGTTAGAACTCTCATCATGGATGAAAGCTTCTACAACCTTGGCGCCTACCAAGCTGAGTATGCTTTGCCCATCACCTCGTGAGGGAGGGTCGGCCACATTTGAAAAGGATGGCACTCTCTCGTACCATGCAACGCAAGGAGCCTCAGCCTCAATCACTGCAAGATAGTGGGCTAAGCGATACATGGATTCGCTCTTGCTCAAACCTTTGATTGCTGATGTGCGTGCGGCTTCGTTGTCCAGCCAGAAGATGACTCTTCGGTTGCACAGGCTGTTTTGGAGCATACGACGCAAAGTGATCAAGGCGTAGAGTTCGATTTCGCACATAAGCTGCGATCCCACATCCAGCTTCCATCGCTCCAAAAGCTTAGTGGGCACACAACCAGCAAAAACCCTAGCGCTATCGTCTAGCTATTCCCGCCCAAGGGTCTTCCCAAGCACCGTCCGTCCAAACATGGATGGGCGGTCGCGGGTCAAAGATGCGAAGGATTCTCGGTGGCGTGGTGCTCAAGACAGCCTGGGTGGTTTTGCAGAAGCGCTGTATTTCGGCAGCAGTCGGGCGTTTCCCACGAACCAAGGATAGCAGGAAGTGGCATGCCGGCTTTAGGGATCGGCCCGCAAAGAATCCAGAGGCGTAGTTTAAAAGTCCCAGGAGCACCTGTGCCTCATGCCTGCCAAGGGTACCTCGGTCAAAGATGTTACCAAGCATTTCGGCAATGCGCTTGACACGGCCTTCTTTGTTGGCTAGTACCGCAACACCCTCGTGGAGGCGGCTGACGTCCAGCTGCATTCCGAGTACCGTGAAGGTTTCTTCATACGGTTGACCCTTTATCCCGGTCTGGGCGAAGCGCCACCCCAAGAGTTCCAAGAATTCCGAAGTCAAACCGTCAAGTTCCTGGGCACCCTCTCTCAAAGCGAAGAGAGGGTAATCGTCGAAGTAGTTTGCTGAGGGGATCTTCAGCACTTTGCACAGCAAGAAATGCAGGCTTCGGGCCACCCTCACGAATCCATACACCGACGAAGTCAAGCCAAACATCAAGGCGTTTGCAACAAAGAATTGTGGTTCCCCCTTCTCATTGGGATGGCAGATTACGGCAATGTCACGGTGCAGCGGTAGTACCGCTAATTGCTTGTACGCTTTCGAAAGGTCGAGGGTCCGCCCTAGCCATTGCCTAGCAGGGACACCCAGGCGATCTGAGCGTTCCTTTTCAGCCCGGGCAATCAGCAGAGCTAGGCCTGAAACAAAGTCGGCTCCTTGAAGTTCCAGCTTGATCAGGGAAGTGAAAGCTTCGTTGACCTGGGAAGCGTGCCCATCATCTATGGGTCGAACCTTCTTTTCAAGGCCTTGCTCAAGAACAAATCTAGGAATTACGCCCCAATCCGAATGGCCGAAGATCTGAGTGACCTGTGTTTCAGTGTAGGGCCCCTCGATGAAATTTTCAGCAACCTCGGAGTTAGAGGCCTCCTGAAGAAGAGAAATTTCCTCAGGGGTCGCACGGTTCGTTCTCGACAAGGCTGCACGGCGTCGCAAGGAGGCAGTAGCACGGAGTTCTGATTCAGTCATGGAAGCCATAGCCACCTTTGTCTTGAAGCACTCGGGCTTTTCCGAAGTCCCTACGAGAGGCACCCCCTTTTTCATCAGATCCACTACCCCCATGTCGTCAAAACCATGATTCCTCAAAAGAGACTCCCACAGACAAATCCTTTTGCCTTTGACCACCTTCTCGAACCACGGCGGGAAGGATGCATGAAGTTTCCGCTCGTCTTCTTCCAGGGTCTTGGCGAGGAGCTTAACTTTAAGGAGTTCTAGCTTCCTAAGCTGGTTGGCCTTGGCAGAATCATGGGTCATGCAAAAGTCGACCGCTTCCAACACTTCCGGGCCAGCAGCAATCGCTTTGTCCACCGGGTGTTGCAAAGTGTGGGCTTTGGAGACATGTTGACTCATGTCAAGCCAATGACCTACCTTAACAGGTCTAGAGCCCGCTGGATCCGAAGTTAGACCCCCACCACTGTCCCCTGCAGCGTGGGTTAGGAGGATCTTGCAAGACTTGTCAGGTTTAAATTCAGGAGTTTCCCAAGTGACCTTGTGAAACTCCGGAATAAGTGGCGCATGGCGATGGCTTTGCTTGGCGGCCGCGGCCAGAGCTGCAGCGTGGAAGTCAGTTGCTGGTGAAAGAGTCCGGCTGGACTCAGAGGCGCAGCGAGCAACACAATCGGCCATGCGGGTGCACAGCAAAGGCGGATAGCACGCACTGAGGCGGGACGACGACCACCAGGATGCATGCTCATGATCCTGGCTACACTTCGCTGCCAAAGGAGAAAACAAGCCTTTGGAGGCCAAAAGTTTGCATTGCTTAGGGCGATCGCCCCCATGCGCGCACATGGCAAAGGTGACTTGCTCAAGCTTGCTGGGTGGCCACCTGATGTCAGCCTGAGATGCGAAGCGCTGCAAAATGTGCCACAGCAAAGAATTTGCCGGGTTTTCGACACTTACCGAAATGTTTGCCCCAAGGCAGAAGCAAACGACATCGAAGCAGAAGCGAAAAAGGGCATTTTCCTTCCTAAGCTTTATGCCTTCGGCAGAGGACCACCGGATGGTGGGCACACCTAAGCAGTGTTCCGACGTTCGGAGCTTGGTAAGTTGGGGGCCCTGGAGTCTACGACCGGGCTTTGAAGCTTGGCGCTGAGAGGCTGATGCAGAGCCTGCAGGCACACCCAGGTGAACGTGAAAAGGCTTGCACTGCTTCAGCATTGACATGAAGACTTCACGGCCTGCTTCCGTGGAGAAGTCCAGATTGGCCGTGGGGACCATTGCCCCAGCAAGCTTAGCGTCAAAGGCGAGGACTTTGAATCCCTTCCGAAGGCAAGCTCGAGCGAAACCCCCGGTGCCTGAAAAGATTTCGAAGATCCACGCTCATCAGGTCGTGGGGGCTGCGTTTGCTCGGCGATCTGTAGCGGGAAACCCAAGGAGGTCGGGGGCCTAAACCCTAAGGACAAGAGGGAATGTGCCGCTTCAAGGGTGAGCTTCGACAGATCGGAGACGCAAAATGCCACAGCAATCAGCCTGTGGCCTTGCCATGGTTCAGTGCAGTGGCTTCGGGAGTAAGCCTCAAAGGTGATGGGTCCAGCGGACACATCAAGCAGCTCGCCAGGAGTCGGTTTGCCGTTGATAGGACGGAGCTCCGAACCCTGTTCGCACTGGGCCCAGATGTGGCCTCCAGTGAACGATCCGATCGGAATGACACCTGTGGGGGACTTATGATTCTTGGAATCAACATGCATTGACGTACCGGAATTGCAAAACAGGAAAACTGTAGTAAAGAAAAGGTCTGGGAGCTGAGCTCGGACAAAAGCTGTGATGGCTCTGGTCGTTTGTGGACAGCTCTTACACTCTCCACGCAGACCCTGAAGCCCTCCCTGAGAAAAAGCCCCAACTCCAAAATTCGGTTGCTGAGTTCTGGCGTCGGGGCGTAGAAATCCATCCGCAACGAGATGTTCATGCAACTTTTGCAGATCAAGGCGGGATGGTGGCGCATCGACTGAATTAAGTTTCTTTGCGAAACACTCCGAGCTCGGAGCTCGGCTTGCACGTTGGGCCAAGGGGACTGCCTCAGGAGCTGGCCCATCCCCTGATTGGCCATCTCACTGCATGCCATGCGTGCACTCACTGTACGGGTGATTCTTATTGCATCCTACTTTCCAGCACTGGTGATATCCTTTCGGGCACCTGCCTTTAACCACCTTGGCCTTACAAGTGCCCAAATTGAACCCAAAACAATTTGGCCGGTTCTGCGAGTCTCTGGCGGAACAACCTTCAGGTATTTCAATCCTAGGTGCACGACCCTTGCCCCCGCCTTTATTGCCTTTATCGCCCTTGCCTTTGACTTTCTTGGGCGTTGCATCATCATCGCCGTCCTGGGGCCTCTTGGTCGGATGGGCCGGTGGAGGCGGTGAGAGCAAGGGTGACAAGAACTGAGCGATGTCATGCGACACCGACAGACGCTTCAGCTCAGAATCCAATGGCTTAGCAGCACCTACCGGTTTCTGAAGCTTGCCCTCAAGGTTATTGGCTGCACGGATGAAGAGCTCCTTATCGGCTGCTACGATCTGCGACAAGGAGACCTTGGTGTACCCCGTGGGAACCTGACGCTGGGTCAACTCAAAGATGGAGTTAACCCACTCCTCCATGACCTCAAAGGTGCACAGGTTGCCCAAGTCTAGGGCTAGCGATCGGCGAAAGAAAGCCTGCCGTAGCGCATAGGCACCATTCGTGTCGCACACCGGATCGGGGGCCTTGGTCCCGAGCTTAAGGTTGCCCTCCGGGTCAATTTGGATCGATGAATCCTTCTTGGCTAAGCTAAGCTCCTGGGAACGAGAGGTCCACCTGTTCATGGGCAGGTAGCGCAAAGAATTGTTTTCCAACATGTCGGTGACCTGGTCGATGCTCGCATGGGATGGCTGATTTGATACGGTGAAGACAACACCTTTCAAGCGAGCTTGCTGGGCTTCTTGTCTGGCCAGCCGCTCGGCCGTAGGAAGTTTCTTGATGGTGTTTTCCGGCTGGCCTTCAACTCGGGTCCTCAAGTCCGCGATGTTGAGTGACTGGCTCTCAAAGAGGAGTCGCCGGATCACAGAAACTTGAAACGCAGAGGGCCTCGGGTCCACGACCGTGGCCAACCACTCATCGATGGCCTCGTCTGTCAGGGCCTGAGGAGAGCTCGCAGCAGCAAAGGCAATTTTTCCGAAGGTGTCGTAGCCTTTTTCTTTGAGCTTCCCATACAACTCCGGTGTCACGCCGATGCGAAGACACCTTTCCTGAAACGCTGCTTCGGAGTCCAAGGTGGCTGACGTCATGGCTGCAAATGAACGCGTTAAACACCCGATCTGTGATCTTTGACCAAACACGTGACGGATGATGTTTTGTTGCATTCATCACTGGCCGTCTGCTGTGAGCCACGGCCGCAATATGGGCAGCTCAATCTTCCACCCGTGCCACGAGCCAACCCTGGCCGGCACAAAGTGATACGGTCTTCAACCATCAAGGCCAGCCCCGGGTGTCGCGCGACACCGGCTGACATTTGCATGTGGTGACTCGGACTTACAGTCATCACCGCGTTAATCAATCCCAGCGCTTCTCTCTCAAGCCAACATATGTCAAAACGGAAAGCTCCGTCGTCAAATATGTCACGCGGGCCTCGGGTGAGAAACTCACCGGCCCGGAACCCAAAAAGGGGTTTGTGTGCCCAACCTTGCGTATCAGCCCTAAGCCATCAGCCCGACAGGATTACATGTACGCGGCCACGGGCACGAATGCCGGCCGATCAGCATGGACTGTTTATGGACTTAAGAGGCGCAGACAGATCTCGGCATCACCAGGTGGATTGCAAACATACGTTCCCCACGGCTTTTATCCGCGGCGTCCGGACCTGGTCAAAACTCCGATGCTCGACGACACTGAATACAAGGCTCGGGTTCCTCTTCGTCTTCAGTGGTGAAGACTCTGTACCTTGAGGTGACCGGCCTCCCGCAAAAGAAGCTTGAAGCATCCCTAAGTTTGTGTACGATGTTTGACAGGGAATGGATCATCAGCTGGTCGGCGGTGCACTCCGTAAAGGGAAGCCTAGACCCGGTAGCCTCCGCTGGGCGCCCGAAGAATTCCGCCCCGGACTCAGCGGACCTCGAAGCCAAGGACTCCAGCTCGTCGGGTTCCTCGTTCGGTAGTGCCGGAGCGTCTGGCTCCGGGCGGCTGAAATGTCTCGACGCTACAGCTGCAACCCTGTCAGAAGTCGACATGTCGGGATCGAAGTCCCCAGCCCGGATGCTCTCGAAAAGTGCAAGGAGTTTCCCAGCGAGGGAGATGTAGCACTGGCGGGAATAGATGAGATTAGATGAACCACCACGTTTGAAGTGGTGCCCGAGCAGCAACTTCTCCTTGGCACTGAAATGGACTGTGGAGCTCCATCCCACCCATGAAAGTAAGGTAGCCTTCAGACTATGTGTACCAATCGATTCGTCAGGAGAGGCCCCCATGCCAATGGTAAGAAGGAACTCCTCAAGGAGGTCCGATCCCTCCTCCGAACTCATAGGCACCGTGGCCCAGCAACCGGCACGCTGAGACCAGGACGGAAGGCACCCCGCTGAGAAGTCAAGGCCTTCAGCAGCACGAGCCTGTAGCCACAACTCCGCCCAAGGTTGGCCGCTTGCCCCTCCAGCCACGCATACGTAGGGCAGAAACTTCGTTTGGGCGTCAGCCGTCAAAGAAGTCTTAGAGCCTAAGCCTGAAGCAATAAGAAGTTGCCCACGGCCTTCACCTATCAGCTCGAGTTTCTTGACTTTTTGAGCATCCGCCCACCGGCAACATGAATGCACGCAGAAGAGCATGAGGCCGAGCACGCATTGCAGCCAAGTTGAAGTCTTGGTCATGAGCTCCTCCAAGGCTATAACCCTCGCATACGACAAGGGGTCTCGCTGCTTGAGCGGCTCCTTGTTAAGTCGCATGTCTCTGGCAATGCCCCGCACCCGTGATGATAGAATGACATCCAAGGACATGAAGTTGAAAACAGCCACCCCGTG